GCGAGCCAAGTTCAAATTTCGGTCTAGTCTGTGACATTCACTTTTGCACAAATATCCGTAAAAAAAAAATTAAAAAAAAAAGACATGGAACAATCGTATCTCACCAACCAGCTAGGAATTAAACAGCAAGGTAGACTGGGCTCTTTAGCCTTGGGTGAAAAATAGGAAAAACTCTGAGTTTCAAGCCGTAGAGAAGACAATGGGAAAGGACTCCGCTAACTTTTGCAATAACGCACGGGAATTCACAGGTAATAAAGAAAAGAAACTTGAGCCATAATCGCTTACGCGCGTCCCGAATAAACGTCGCAATAAAAAAAAAAAAAAAAAAAAAAATTTAAAAGCATGAGAGGAACATGTTTAGGGTGTCAGGGGTTGGCTATTGATTTCTGAAGGCACCACCTCTGTTGCTCCGGTAAAATGGATAACTCGGTGCAGTCCTGTAATCCGGTGGCTAAAAAAATCAGCGGTGCACCAGTGCAACACGAAATAAATCCTGTTTTAATACAGGAAAAAATGTTATATGCAAATATGAGTGTTAAATTACTGGTTTTTCTTCGCACTGGTACCATGAAATCCAGTGCTATATATCACAAGTTAGTCAAAAATAAGTTATATCAGAAACCTAGTTGCTCTAGGGCAGTGTTTCCTAAACTTTTTTCCCACTGGGCCGTATTTGCTGAATTAAAATTTGCTCGAGCTTCACCAAATTTTCTGTGAGAAAAAGTACAATAAAAAAAGAAGAGACAGAGATGTTTAAAGGGAGATAATCGCGTATTCGAAGTAAGAACATTATCATTGATAACACTTTCCACCAATTTACGAACCCTAGTTTCTATATTCTTAATATTTGATATAATGAAAAAATATCAAAATTATAAAATCGGTCAATGATTATTTATAACTATTTATACTGGGACTCATGCATGCACTTACAAGTAATCCATAATAATATTTTAAATTTTGAAATCATATTTATTTTCGGCATATTAATTTTTTAAGCTGTTTCTAAATCTTTGATTGTCATTTCGCTTCACCTGTTTTTCTCTTCCGCTGCACTTATGAGGAGCGCCACACCGTTTAGGGAGCACTGCTCTAGGGTTATTATGAAGGACAAGTCAAGCTTTACACCGCGATAACTTAATGGGTTATAGGAGTAACGAACTAATCAATTTGCGAACTTATAATATTGAAATATTAGAGTTATCTATCATTTGCAAGTGATTCATGAAATAAAATATTTCAATAAATTACCAGATTTAACCCCGGAAACCAACTGTAATGAAAGTTTCCATTCTGGTGTGAAATTGACTGATTAATTCTCAAAATAACAATAAAACCTTGCGGAAGTAAATTGTTTAGGAGTTATCGACACTATAAGTTCTGTCTTATTCGTGGCTACCATTACTGGAGTTGGAGTTTACATACGTTTTCCTCGATTAGTAATGCGCGGAAGTTTTTTACTTAACGGCCTTTTTACTGATCTTCTTACTCGTCTTGATTACTGCGCAAATCGCGAAATTTAATTTAAAGTTTGCGCATTATGCAGTAATCAAGACAAGTGAAGCTTCCGCATGCAAATTTACACCATAATGGAAATTTTCATTACGATTGGTTTCCGGGGATTAATCTGCTAATTTACGAATATTTCTTCTGAAAAAAGTCCTCCTCTTAGTCTCTATCGGTCTGTTTGTTTCAAGTTAAACCTTTGTGATGACTTATCGTGGCTAGCGAAATGGTTATAGGCGCGTGAAATCGGATGGAAAAGCCAAGTCCAGATCCCGGCCAAGTCGTTTGGCAAATATATGGATCCATCTCTGCTCGGGTTTAAATGATATAGCAGTGTAGAATGAACTCTCTAGCCTTGAATGGCAGCCAATCTAGAAGAAACTCTGATTTTAGAACCGTGGCGAAATCAACAGGACACTTCACTATCTTCCCCAATAATTCACGTCAATTCAAATAAAGAAGCGGATCCTGTGGCGATCCATGATTATCCACGTCCTCAATGGCTATCGGGTTTATTTAGAACAAATGTGTCAGCTATCATACAAGAAATAATTTTTTTTTTCAGGTTGACATATAAATAATTTGCTTATTTTAAGCTACTGTCCAAAAATATCTGCTATTCTGAATAAAGATTTAACACATGAATTAATTTTTTAGTATTAATTTGAAAAATCTGGAAAATGACAAATAGGTTGTTGACAAGAATCTGGACCTGATAGAGTCAAGCCAAGTTGAAATTTGTATTCAGAACACCAAAATCACCTAGAATTTTCTTTTCTATGTGCAGTATCACTTCAAGATGTAGGCGATCATGGCCCTCCACATCACCCTGTCCCTTCTAGCTCTTAATAATCTTTGTCTTTTTGTTATTACTCCCAAACCCTTTTCCACCATTCATTTGTTTAAGCCAATCAAATATGTTATGAGCTGCTTTCCTCTGTTCCTTTTTTCCCTCAAACTGTCCTTTGAGTATCAGATTTTCCAAGCCTACCTTCCTCATTACATGCCTCAGAAATTTCAATTGCCTCTTCCTGATGTTAAGAATAAATTTTCTTTTTGCCTCTATTTTCTCTAAAACTTGGTTGTTGATCACATGTTCGGTCCATGGTATCCTCAGCATCCTTCTGTAAAACCGCACTTCCGTTACTTCGTCTCTTCCTCAACTTTGAGATTGTCGAGCATTCATTGATATTCAGTCCTCTTTTCTTTGTTTCCAACGAAGTTTTTCTGTCTCTTAATACTCTGCTTTGCTTTTGCACTAGAATCAAGCGTCAGATATTCAATAAAACACGAGTTCCCCAGTGATCTAATCGATCTCATTCAGTTTTCAATCGCTTTTGATTTGCTTTTTATCGCTATTTATCCTCTATTAATCTTTGACTAAGTTTTCTTTCATCTTAGCCCTGTTGCTAATTTTATCGCAACATTCGAGCCGTTTTATAGCCCACGACCGCAAAGCAAGCATCATGAACTGAAAAAAATTAACATCGACGTTATTTTTTATTCGATCAAAGCTGCTTACTTTGCGGTCGTAGAATGTAAAGTAACCTGATCACTGCAATAAAAATATCAACAAAAATAAAAAAAAAACTTCGTAATAAAAATTCAGAAAACCTCAGACTGTTACGTCTTCTGCTACTATTAGCTGAACGAAAACAGTATGCAGAAAATCAGATAAGGTAGAATGTAGTTGTTATAAATTTCGCCTTCAGTGATCAATTCTGTATGGCATTAAGTCCTCTGCGTCACAACGGGGCAGTTTCCTGTGAAACCTTCCCCACCCTGGTTAGACTTTCTTTGTTAATGTGAGTGAGTGTCGTTCACGGTTCCTTCTTTTTGTTATGATCCAAGTTGAGATTCCCAACTCTCCAGTTTGTTTTTGGCTTCGTTTTTCATCTCGATTGGCTAAGTCTTTGATTTCCCTACGTCCAGATTTATTTTATTCTTCTCATTCCGTTAGAGAGTTAACTGCGTGATTCTGTTAGATGACAGAATACAGCGGACACTCTTATTTATGTGGGGTGGACGGGTCCTACTAACATCTGTTATTTTCTGTTTGATATTTTGTTATATTTTAGTTTGCAAGTGGGGATTCATTCCCTCCCCCGTCATTTCATACCATTTTTAATTATATATATATATATATATATATATATATATATATATATTAGGAACATTTGTACATAAATTTTTAAATCCTGTTTTTTTTGTTTGTTTTTTTTTTATGTAGGTTCCCTTTGTGTGTGGGGTATTGCGGTATAGGTAAGAGTAAAAGGTGAAGGGCGTCTTCTTTTGGTATATGTGTTACCTGTAATGAATGAATGTGTCGTAAATCGGATTAGGTAGGTATAAAATAGTTAATGATGACCAGCTTCAACCCACTCTCCCTTTTGGAGTTATGCCGAAATGATTCTATTTTTGCAATAATAAATATTCAATTCTGTAAGGCGTTGTCAATATCAGGCGAGTTCCTAAGAACACTGGTTTAGAGTTCAGATCTCGTTGGATATATATTTATGTCCGATACATGGCAAAATATAACAAACGTTATTTACATTATTCGGACTATTGTCCTCATCTTTGTTGCCATATTTATCACAACGTTTCAGCCGTTGTACGCTCCAGCCTTCTTCAGGTGGTCGGAATGTCAAACTGAACCCTTTATTTCGCTCACTGGGGTAGACTGTTCTAGTTCCACGTGCCATGTTTAATGGGTGTCAGTTATGAGTTATCTCCTGTTAATTCCCCTCTCCAAATTTTCCACTGCCTTAACCGGGTATTGAACTCACACTCTTTGAGTCCTGTTACTGGATCTAACCAACGCCTTTATCCACTGTGCCATGTGTCCTTGAAATCCACTGACAGGACCCAAAGAGTGCGAATTCAATAACCGGTTAAGGCAGTGGAGAACTTGGACAGTAGCTTAAAAATAAAGGGCTGAAAATCATTGAAAATAAAGGGTAGAAAGTCAATGAAAATAAAGGGCTGAAAATCACTGAAAATAAAGGGCTGAAAATCATTGAAAATAAAGGGCTGAAAATCACTGAAAATAAAGGGCTGAAAATCATTGAAAATGAAGGGCTGAAAATCACTGAAAATAAAGGGCTGAAAATCATTGTTCTAAGACAGCGCTTCTTAAACGTTTTTCATTCATGACGCCATTTTTCATAACGAGATTTTTCGCGACCCCAGGTATTAAATCACCACCCTGAAAATACACCCGTTGTCACTGTACTAGTCGCAACGATGCCGTATGCACATTTTATTATCGCAGCCTTTGCGTGACGCATCACGTTAAATAGTTTGCGTTTGTGAAATAATATAGAAAATGAAATTCAAGTGTCTAAATTTAATTTTCGCGACGCTACCATTTCGCTTAGGGGCTTCATTTGGGGAGGGGGCTCGCGACCCATAATTTAAGAAGAGCTGATCAGCCAATTAAGGTTATAGCCATTTTATGAGGTATTATTTTGACGAGACTAATATCTAAACAAATGGCTACCTCTTCTGCCACTCCTCTTTCGCGTTCAATAGTAAAGTTTATTATTTTAATTCTAATGTTTTTTTTGCAATTCTTTAACTTTTTAACAGCAACGTATTGTGCAAGTCAATGTCTTCGCAATCAAAATTCCGATTTAAAAAACGTTGCTGGAAAATATTCAGGATAAACATCGCGTGAGCTTATGATATTTACTAATATTGAAAATATTGATAACTTTTTATTACTAAATTTGACACAAAACAAGGCTCGAGTGCCACTCAAGGTAGAGGGTTACAGTCGAAATAGTGATGATGAATAAGGTGTGTGATATGAAAGGAAGTGGAGGGTAAAGAGAATTATGATTGACTCTCGACCCTGAAATGGTTAAGATTAAAGTGTTCAGAGAAGCACTCATGCAAGAGTCTGTTCACGTAGTCCTTGGAAAAAAACTGTCGAACTGTCTTCTTACATCTGCAACTCGGAGGAAATGAGTGTGATTCGATTCTGTAGAAGTAGCATTGAATGTTCTAACTGTAAACGTCTGAAATAATAAAACCAAAGAATGCAGCTCATCTGATGATTTGCCATGGAATTAACGATAGAGCAGCAACAGGCTTGCAAGTATTGCGTTTATGAAGAAAAAGGGTGTATAGTGGATAATAAGTCTCCCCTCCAAGATCATGTAATCATTTTTCAATTTTGTCAAGGCTGGAAATTTAAAATGGAGCAATTCCAGTTTAGTTATAACATCGCTTCATTTTTGGTCTTACCGGATTCTTGTAAAGGTAAAACATAGAACGAATCAGAAACTTCCTGAAGCGATATAATAAGTGGACCATTTTTTCAGCTTTTTTAGCAATGGATTACATCTATGAGTGCCACTTGAGGTCTGAGACCCAATAAGCGTTTAAAGTGTGCATTGAGAATGGAACCTTTCATTGTCTTTTGTATAATTCCAATTTTCAGAGTGCCATTGGCTTTATCCTTTCTGCTTTCCTTGACGATCAAGTTTACAATCTCGTCTTTTTCTAGCTGTTATTTTTATTAATCATAATGCTAGTTAGCTATTATATTAGTAAAAGCTTGAAAATATCAAATTGTCGAGTGCAACAAAATGTGCATGGCGTGAATTCTAAATAGAAGTGCTTAATTTTAATGGGGATCTGAACTTCGGATAGCAGTTTTATTCTCAAATGAGCAAGAAGCACCATTTAAAAAAAAGCTTGTATCTTTCGTCGTCTAAAGTGCCGTTGGTGATACACCCTTGAACGTATGGTCCTAAATCAAAGAAGTCATTCGAACCATTGTACTAAATCCGAGGAGTCCATTATTTTGTGTCTCGGAATGGGTGGGGGGAGCAGTGTCCTTTCTTCGAGACGAGATGCGACGTTGATTTATTTTTGAAGTTACCTTCTCGCCTTTTCCCAAAGAGACAGGACATAAAAGGCGACTGTTGATTTGAATTCAGAGTTTTCCTTCTGGTTGCCAAGGCTATAGGGTCCAGATTGTCTTGCTATTTACCTATAGCTGAGGAAGAGATAGGATTCATACCTTCTCTAATGGTATTATGAACTCGACAGGATTCGAACTCGGCTCTCCGATTCTTCAATCCACCGTACTTGTCTCTTTAAAAAAAAAGACAAAAGACAGATGTGGGTATGTTTTGTGTTGTCGTAAATTGATAGAAAAGAAGAGAAAATTGAGTTGTAATAAAAATAACGAGTTTCTTGTTTCTATTTACAAGTATATTAAGAAGAGTGACAACAATTTGTCTCCAGCTGTGTTGTCATGACAATAACTTAACTGCTATATGCCAGTCGGCAAATTGTTTTAGATCGTGTGATAGTTCAAACGATGTTCAGCATAAAAAACAATTGTGTAACAGGATTGCGTTGAGCAGATTGTATCATATCACCCGATTTTCTCTTTGTGTTGGCTTTATGATTCGGGAACTTTTTATGTTAGTTGATAGGATACCAAGGACATATGTATACAACGAATAGTAATTTGTTGAAGAATAAATTTTTCTACTAGATATGACTAAAGATAAATCTATTTTTAAAAAAATAAAACCGAGAAGAAAAATTTTGGAGAAACTGAGAATTACTTTTGGTCCTAAGCATTGAAACATTTCGATCCTCCATGGTGTAAAATAAACTATTGGATGCGCGGGTGGCACAACGGTTATTCGAAAACTTATTGGGCGTGGGTAAAACACTGTTCTATGGGATTACTCAGTTGACAGTATAATGCTATTGATTGTGTTTGTGTACTGCGTTACCATAGCGACAGTTTGCATGTTACCGTATTTGTGAATCTTCCTATTATCCTACAGAGGTCTCTGGGAAAATATCGCGTCACCAAAGGTCTATCAACCTCACAATTACAGTCCATCTCGTCTAAAATCAAGCTTTTACCAAATTCTTTTGTGAAACACCGTCGTGAGAATAAGGAGAGCATGATCCTGAAAGAAGATTTTGTAAAACGTTCTGAAAAGTGGAATACGCACTTCGATAAGTATGTGTGGTCCGAAAAGGAGTACTTTGAAAAGATCCGAAAGGGAGTAGTTTGAAGAAGTCCGAAAGGGAGAACTTTGAAGACATCCGAAAGGGAGTATTTTGAAGAGGTTCAAAAGGGAGTATTTTGAAAAGGTACAAAAGGGAGTACTTTGAAGAGGTCCGAAAGTGAATACTTTGAAGAGGTCCGAAAGGGAATACTTTCAAGAGGTTCGAAAGGGAATAATTTCAAGAGGTCAGAAAGGGTGTACTTTGAAGAGGTCCGAATGGGAGTACTTTCAAGAGGTCCGAAAGAAGAAATGAAGATTAAGATATAATTTCCTTAAGCAGGCTATTTTCTGGTTATTATTATATAGTTGGGCACTTTCCGGAGAAATCCAGGACTCTACCAATTCAAGAAATACCCTCTTGTCAAAGGTGGGTTTTTTTTCTTCTACTATGAACCCTGTCGTTTCAGGACGCGGATGTACATGGCTTTCCACAACTCTTCTGTTATCCAAGCTCGTTAAGTAAATTACTCGCTGTTTCCCTATCTCCTTCTTGCCTTCAGTATGTCTTGTGCGTGTCTAATCCAAGCCCCCTTTCCTCATTATGTGTTCTAGAAATTTCAAATCTCTTTCTGGTTCTATGTATGATATTGTTTTTGTCGCTATTTTCCTTTAAACTCCCTCGTTACCACATGGTATTCGCAGCAACCTTCTGTAGAACCATATCTTTATTTTTCCAAGAATTCTAAGCATTTACTGCCATATAAGATTGATATTACATATCAGTTGAGCACTTTTTTGTTCCTAATTAAATTTTCTTGTTTCTTAATACTTTGCTTAGCTTTTGGAAGACATGTTTTACCATTCCAATTCGCTTTCGGATTTTGCTATAATTTTTTTCTGTTAAAATACTTCCCAGATATTTCAATTCTTGTAATTTACTTGATTCAACTTTTCGTCTTGCTGCCAAAAATACATTCTGTCTTATTTGTCTAAAATAAAAAAAAACTCGCCCTTTTCTAATGTTTACAGCTGTGCACTTACCACTCACGATCGCCTTATGACTTAATATCAATCTTATTTAAAAACAGAGCGAGTATCAGAGAGAGAAAAAAGAACTTTATTTCTATATCTGAAAACTGGTCTTTCATTTTTATTTATCTTATCTCAACTTGTAGAGAAGCAGTCAACTACAAAAATAGACAAATGAACAAATAAACAGATATAAATCATTGATAAATTAAAAAAACCATGTGCCTCAGAGAAATTTTATGTTCTACAGTCGGTAATGATTTGAAAATTAACATCTTCTGGGTGTAATTATTAAATTAAGCTACAAATTCTGCCTGTGCACATTAATGCGGTCGTCTTGTGCTTAATGAGCGTATATAGAAATTATTCATCAGATAAAAGCCACACATTCTTCTTCCCTACAAATACATGGAAACATTCCTGTGTAAATCCCAGACAACGATAACTTAAAAAGAAATATTCAGAGATCTTTTATTTAAAATGTTTGTTTGGCCGTTTTCTCGTGCATTGGCATCAGATTATGTTCACTTTAGGAATCAACTCACAGTCAACGGCTTACATAATGTACGTGTTATTAATATGCCACAAAGAAAGAGAAATTGTGAAGAGCCATGATCGCTCACGGCCTGAAGGAACATATCACATAGAAGAAGATGTTAAACATTAAAACACCGTTCAGTCCCTCGATTCTCACGTCACACATATAGAAAATGTTATCTATCTATCTATCTATCTATCTATCTATCTATCTATCTATCTATCTTGGAGACTGGCAGAACTTCGATCAAAAAAACGCTCAATAAATTAAATACGTCCATTGAACATTTATTGAAAGGATATTTATCTATTTCAGACTATTTATATCTACATGCTGACAGTGTGTTTGCGTGTGTGTGCCTCCTGTCATTAACCGTTGTTAAACTAATACCGAATAATCTCTCTCTCTCTCTCTCTCTCTCTCTCTCCTATATATATATAGCATAATATATATATATATATATATATATATATATATATATATATATATATATATATATGCTATATTTATCTACCCATTACACCACACCACATACACACCTTCGGTCTAAAGGCAGATTGAAGTGTTCCGAGAAGCGCTCGTGCAGGAGTTTGTTCACGAAGTGGTAGTCCTTAGAAAAAAGCTATCTACAAATCCACGACAAGACTTAAATGTCATTTTACATTAAACAGTAAATTTATTTATTTCCGTCTTCTCGTCGGATTAATAAATAAAAAATCCATTACAAATTGATTTGTTTACGTTTGGATTCGAAACTGAGCAGATGTGAAATTTTCAAGCGGCAAAAGGATGTTCCTGTTTGAACGCGATCTTTAGTTCATAGCGTCAGTCTTCAAACAAGAAATAGACTATCGTATCTCGGTGTTGACATGAGTGCCCACTATATATATATATATATATATATATATATATATATATATATATATATATATACTAAAAAATTTTCAGCCTCGTGTTCACGGAGATAAAAGCATACTTGACAGAAAATAAAACGGGTAAAATAACAAAAAATAGCATGGTAAATTGTATGTCAATTTCATACAATTTATTTATATTTTTTGTGTGTATTTTTAGGTTACAATTGTTTCATGGTACATGTGATAAAAGAGAGAATTTACTCCGTAGTATTACAAGCCATATCACAGCGAGAAGTTACACACGTGTTGCCCGTACGAAGGTTCGTGGTGAAGAGATTGAATTTAACGTCTTTTGGCGGGATGTCCGTATTTCCGGCAGGAACAGTTTTTGTTTCATGCTGAGAATATTTTTTCTTATTTTTAATTTTAATTTAATTTATTTTACACAATGTTTTTATATTATTGTTTTATTTCATTTTATTTATATTTTTCATTATTATTATTATTATTATTATAAATAAATAAAAATATAATAATAATAATGATGATCATTATTATTATTATATTTTTATTTATTTATAATAATAATAATAATATTCCTACACTATTAAATTTTGAATTTCGGTACGTGAGACATTTCCCAGATATATGTTTTTTTTTGTTTTTGTTTTTTTTTTTGTTGTTGTTAACTAAGCTGGACTAATTTTTGGTTGTAAATTCGAAATTCATTAACGTTGGGCTTTCAAATGTAGCCCATTTCGCTACTTGAAGCCCAATTTGGCAAATTTAAATACATGTCGACTTCATCCATTTTTAGTACTGTTGAATGGTTTGTTTTGTACGCATGTTTTAGAAAACGTCGTACCGATTGATTCTTGCAATTACTCATAATTTCAAACTAAAAATACGGAAATCTCTGATGTTTTTCATCAACCTCAAATCACGGATGTAAAAATGCATCAGCATCAAAGAATTTAAGCTCATTGCACAGAAAGAATTCAATTTCGCTAGAAAAGATAATTAACTGCGCTAATATAGAAGCGAAAATGTCTTGCTGACTTGTGCAGAGATGAAACTTATGTGCGTTTTCATGGTTGCGTTTAGAGAAGCGTAATAGATCAACACCAAAAGTAGTGAGAGTCAAAATTCACATCAGATGTCTCGATGCTTACAGTGGGTTGGCGCGCAAAAAGATTACAGCTGATGAACTAAATATACTTGATTAAATATCAATATGGCTGAACGCGCATTAGTACAAGTGAGCATTCGCACGAGTGTATTTGTGTGTGCGCGCGTGTCTATGTGTGCGAGTGTGTGCGTGTGCCTGTAAGCTTATTAGCATGCATAAACTTATCAATATGTCCGTAAACTATCCTGTATTAACTTAGATGAATTTAGAATTTCACTGTGTAATGTTCTCGGATTTTTACTGTATAATAGTATTAATCACTAAATTAGTCTATGTACAAGAAAGGAGATTATATTAAGTAATTTGTTTTATAAAATAAATTCTATTTTCATTATTATTATTATATATATCAGTTAAACAAAAACACATACTTGATAATGGCTAATAGATTATTCGAAAGCTCTCAGATCTACAGATTATTTTGACAGTTTTTAAATACTTTATATCTAGAAAAAATATCACCTGTACGAATGCAAGGAAAATTTTATAAAATGCTTAATTAACCATGATGCCTTGTCAGTCGTTTTCAATGAGACTTGTATAAAAGAGGGTTTGCTGCAGAAATACACAATTATATATATATATATATATATATATATATATATATATATAAATATATATATATATATATATATATATAATATTTATATAGACACAAATATTTAAGTAAATGCTCCGTTTATAATAAACAGTATTAACAACATTTACCGGCCTGAATGTCCGAGAAATTTTCATAGAAAATATTTGTCCTGCATCCTATACGGTTCGAATCCTGTCCAAGGACGAATATTTTCTATGAAAATTTCTCGGACATTCAGGCCGGTAAATGTTATTTAATACTGTTTATTATAAACAGAGCATTTACTTAAATACTTGTATCTATAAAAAAGAACGTTAAACATAAAAATGTCTTTAATAAATAAATTGTCGGACTTTGTCCATTTCTTAATATATATATATATATATATATATATATATATATATATATATATATATATATATATTGAACAATAAAAAATATTAAAAATTAAAACCTTCAGTCACACGAGCACACACCCCACTCACAGGCACACCCACGCGCTTTTTATATATATATATATATATATATATATATATATATATATATATATAAAGTGTGCTGCTTTATATATATATATATATATATATAAAAGTGCGTGCGCGTGAAATGGGTGTATGTGCGCATGCGATGGGTCACTATCGTAGGTAGATGAGTAAATCACTTTGGTCCTCACTGGGAGTTCCTCCTTTGTTGCCTTGTGCCAAGCTGTTTAAAACTTCATATATATATATAAGAGAGAGAGAGAAAGAGAGAACAAAAACAAGCAAAGAGACAGGCAGATAAACTAGCGAGAATTTGATACGCGAACAAAATTCTGGAGCGTCCGAATGCAATTGACATTTATTCACTTGACCCATGAAAGATTTTTCAAGGCAGATAACAAGTCTATCTCAATATCACAGGTTCCCGAAGTGCACTAATACATTTTAGAATGATCGAGAACGAAGATTATATGGCACTAATCTCCCAATTCAGCGGATATCAAAATACTCCCAAGTGATAACAAGGAACGCAACAGTGGTGCTGGATAAAGTAGAATACTCAGAAAAATTGGCAGGTCTCGTTGCAAATGACTATCAAGATACGAGGGTGATGTGTAATCTTCATAGGCTAATTATAAAGGAGTGATGCTAGAACTGTGAAATCTTGCATTCATTAATTTCATCTCTTCTTATTAATAACTGCATTGTTTCTTTCTTGGTAAACTGACATTTGACTATTCAAAAAAGACTTCAAATGCTACTCGTAGCGACTTCTCTTGAAAATGGACATAAGAGCCACGTCTTCTTTCCCCGAGCTGCTTCCTCCAGAGCATTAGAAGCTGAGTCAAGGAAGAATATGCAAGTGATAGAAATTATATATATATATATATATATATATATATATATATGAAGAAATATAGTTTTAAGGTGTGCTATATTTATGGGATAAAGTGCTCAATATCAGCGATAGAGCGTATGTAAATATAAAAGTGAACATTGAAGTCAACACTCAGAGGCAACAGGCTGTTTCATACTAAACGCTATCTTCGGGCGGCCTGACGATTGCGTCTAGTACGAAACAGCTTCTTTAAATTATTAAAAGATAAAAAAAATTCTAAAGTTCCCAGTACCACTCGTTCGTGCGCATGTGTAGTCGTACCAACATAACAAATTTAATTCGATGAAGTTCTGAAGGAGGAAACGCGTCACATGTAAACATTTTCCACTTTGTCATACAATTTCACCAGTACAGTTATTGGTATATAAAAATATATGATATATATGATTATATATATATATATATATATATATATATATATATATATATATATAATCGCATATTCAGTGCTGGTATTAATAACATGGTGCTCGATGTAATATATCAGAGCTATTAAGTATACATGTGTAAATATACATATTATTCCTCACCGTCTATCTTAATGTTATATATTTTTAATAAATACTATTAATTCCTGTTTATTTTAAATATAAAATATAAATCCTGTTTATTTCAAATGCAAAATATATATTTAAAAAAAAATAAAGAACCGTAAATCCGGTATGGACTGTACCAGATATGTTTATTAACATTTAACCTGTGAGGAATAATACACATATATATATATATATATATGTGTGTGTGCGTGTGTGTGTGTGTGTCTGTCTGTGTTTGTGCGTGTAGGTAGGTGTGTTCTTAATAAAGCTTCTATTAAGCGCTACATATATTCTTGTTTTATACTAATTAGTGCAGAAAACCGTAAACCAACTTAGCCGATGACCCTCACAAGAATTGTCCCTAGGTTTCTAACCACGTGCTTTCACTTACTCCTCCAGCCATTGCGAAGTTACAAAACCAAGAATTCTCCTCTATTTTGTTAACATATAACAAGTGTCCATTTTCATATGATACACAACACTATAAATTGAACTTCCACATTCGACACAATTCACTTCTGTTTTAAAAGTTTTTGTTTTCCAAAAAAGAACAAATTTTCAGTTATGCAAGTCAAATTCAGTAAAAAAACAGATCAAATTAAACAGGAATGCACATTTTCACAAAATAAATGTTCTGGTTTCAGGTTTTCTTAACGTCTGCTACCTTGCTGAACATTTTATTGAATGCAGATTAATTCAAAATTCAACTGATATAATTCTGAAAGTGGTCATTTTATCAAAATGATACCAAATATGAAATAATAACTGTTGCTTATTCTGTGTATTTTAAAAGAATCAAAACAGAATTTGGCAAATGTTCTTGAGAAAATCAAATACAATGAACACCGATGTCTCAGATGTCTCAGATCTAAAGGTTTTTGATGGGTCAGCAGTCATTTACAAAATTCTTGTTTTCTATGTGAGTGGGGAAACAGTGTTAGGGATAAAAAAGCATTGAGTTTAGAAGGAATACCAGAAGAGTCTATAGATTGGTGACCCCTCCCCACAAAAAAATCGTCAAACTTAACATTGGTCAATTCTGAAATTGTTCTATGTCCACAGCTTCATATTAAGCTCTGGTTAATGAAGCTTTAAAAAAAATTCCTGGTTTATGTGAAGTCAAATTGAAAGACGGCAACGTATATAGTAGACTTGATAGTAGACTTTATGTATATAGGGGACTTGATAGTAGACTTCAAACAAAGGATGTAATGGTGTGAGCTGCAGCATCAAAGTAGTAATTCAAAATTCTTAGCTAATAACAGGAGTTTAAATACAAAACAAGTTGTGTTAAAAAAGGTTAAGGAGTCAGGTTACAACATGTTTTTCAACATTGTTTTTCTCCACATTTGGAATTTCTTCCTGAAAATCCTGAAGCAGCGAATGAAGAACAGAGTGAAAGATTTCATCAGATATTGAGGAAATGGAAAGACGATATGAATGATGTTGGGATATATCAGTCTGACCGCAGATTAATGCCTGATGATTCATAGAAATGCACCAGAAAAAAATTCTACAAACAACTGCCTATCAAATGAAGGAAAAAAAAACTGAAAGTTTACAAAAGCTCAAAGTATATGTCAATAATATATTTGTTTGGTTTATGTTTTAAAAATTACATTGGAAATAAATCGACCGTTGTTGCGTTGTGCGTCGTGTCAAGATTCCTCCATCTTGATCTCCAAAACTGCATTACAGATTGAAGCAAAGGACAAACACATTTCTTCGGGTTTCTTTTTACTTACTTTCTTTCAGCGGGGAGACATAGTAGTAAACATAATTTTTTGAAGGAAGCGAGAATGGAGAGAGAGAGGGAGAAAGAAAGAACGTGTAAACACGTCGCCCAGCTGACTATCATCTCGATATGGTGACTTGCCTCACTCTGCTGAAGCTGCGATACGCCAAGGAATCTGAGAGAGGGCGGTAGCTTCACTTCAGTTTTGCTAGAACAGGGGTCAGCAACCTTTTGCTAACTATGTGCCGACTTAGGGTTTTAAAATCAACAGCATATGTATTTTATACAAGTCAAGGTCAATATACTTGTTCTACAATATATTTTATATAGTAATATATAGTATATTTACTTTAGTATATATTAAAATTGAAACAACTAAATATCTTCTTGGCGTTGTAGTAGTTATTGGTTCGGATGTGATGTCATTTGCGGCTGCGTGCCATTGGAAATTGCTTGGCGTGGCACGCGTGCCGTGGGTTGCCGATCCCTGCGCTAGAACATTACTGATCGTTTTCGCGCGTGTTTCGGTCTTATATGAAAACTTAAACAAAGGCAATCAATCAGATGCCAGGATTCCACGCCCACGGGTTTCAAACCACCCATTCTCAATTTGGGTTGTCAAAGATCTGAACAGTAAGGTAGGGTTTGCCATTTTGGGGCAAGACTACACATTTTGTAACACTGTAGAGCACAGTTTAACAACAAATGTACAGGATAAAACATCGCAAAATGTTTTTGATCATTCACACTATGTCGTCTATAAACCACACAAATCATTTCTTTTTTACTTTTCGTTTCAGTTGCTTTTTACCTTTCTTAAAATAAAGAAATGTAATATTACGATGTTGCCGACTTTAATGTCTTCTTGCTTGCATCTAGGAATGTTTATAAAGAGTATTCTTTGATTTGCACATGTATTTACTCCCCCCCCACTACGACGAGATGTGACACAAGGTCTTTTTTAAAGTGGGAACCCGAGCGCGTACACCCGGACAAGGAACAAAAATTCCCCACAGCCGTCAGTTGCGCGGGCCTCGATGCGAGCACTGATTCCTCTCTCTGGTGCAATGGAAGGGCGCGGCCTCGGACAGCTGTTCTCCAGGGCTGGGCACCTCTCGGTATTATTTTCCTCAGTTGCGACTCTGTCCTTAGACAGAGTGGCCCCTGAGCGCACTCTGCCCAGAGACGCAACTGAGAGATGATAAGTAATGCGTTAGAAACTCCTCCAAGGAAGAATTTACGCGCTTCCTTGATTTACACACTGTTAATAATAAACGATCCTGTTTTAACTGTATAGACAATAACAAATTGAAAGCATGCGTAGCCGAGTTGTTAACGTTCAGGCCAGGGATCGAATCTCACCATGGCCGGTTAGATGTGACCCCTCATGATAATATCATCCTGAGGCGGGAATTCAAGCTTGCGATATTTTTGAGAGGTGCCTGAAAGTCATGCGTTGACATTGTGTGTGATAATTGAATAGAAGAAATTATTTGGAAGCTGTTAATGGGTGTGCTAGCATTTTAATAGTGGGACTTGATAATATTTCTCCCATTATTCAACAGTGATCTCACACTACGGTTAACCGAGAAGTTGTTTATTTTTCACTTATTTTTATAATCAATAAACACTTTTGCCAATTCAAAAAATGCAATGTGATATAACAGCTGTAACAAAATAATTTAAATCAATCATTTGAATAACGTCTTTTAAATCTACACTACCCCTAATGCCATCAAACAGTAGAAATAAAAAGTAATTTGAGAAAGCCCCAAACAATATTGATTTCAATACAGACAACAAAGCGATAGACGAAGTGTTTATCTTTTTCTCATATGATTGGGAATTTGACATGAGCTGTTTCTTCGCTGGGAAGAATAGGAGAAAAGCTTAACTGTAACAATTTTCTTCTCTATGCTATCCACAAAGGGGATTACAATCAGAGAAATGTCTAATGTTTTGAGGGCTTTTTAACAGCCACAGCCAGACATATTTACTCACTCGTTACATGATGGAATAACTAATTAAGTCTTTTAACTAAAATGGGTTTTCTCAAGGTCAAAGGAAATAAATATAAAAATATTCAAGGAGAATTTAGCATTAAGGAAAACAGAATTTGGAAATGATTAGAAATGATGAGCTATGATCAGAGGACTCATTCGGACTCATTTAAAGACACATGGAGATCTATCAAACTCCATCCGCAACATACTTGTAGAAAATACAAGGATAATAGACTCATCATCTACATGTAAAAAAGATTTAAAATAATGAAAAAACTAATAATAAAAAAAAGAAAAAGCAAACATTCAATAACGTCAACTATGAACACAGCCACAATGTACTGACATTTTTTGGAAAAATAATGATAACAACAATAAAAATAATGCTTTTTGACTGACTTTTCTTCGAGTGAGGATTTTAATTTTGAGGGCTACGAGGTTGAGAAATGACCCCAAATATAAAATCTATTTTGTTTTTTCTTCGTTTCTTTTCCTTTGTTTAATGAATTCCTTGATGACCCTTCTGATAACTTGTAGTGGAGTGAGTGATCTGTCCTATAAAACTTGATAACTATCACTCTCATTAGCGTCAGAAAGTTGAGCATTTGTCGGATGGCATTCTGTATCCGCCTTTCAACATGTAAGCTATGCTAAATTTTATACAATTTGAAATTACATTTTTCTTTTCTTTAATTTCGTTTTAAGTCTCTTTGACTTTATTTTACTTTATTTTTGTGATAACCCTCAATGTAAAACAAGGTCCACCTTTGACATTTCATCTGGTAGAAGTCAATGCGACTTTTATTAAATTAAAACTTATTATAGTCAATACCATTTCCATACCCCATGCTACCCCTTGAATACAGTACTAGATGATGAACCACGGACATCTGAATATAATACCCCCACCTATCTCTTGGGCAGGACAAGCTCTTTAGTCTAGGTCGACAGTCGTCCTATAGCTGGTAACTTGGACAAAATTACCCCTTGGCGGTCAAGGATAAAACGCAAAAAATTATAAATCTCAATGATTACGAACAAATATTCATACCGTAATGGCCGCCACCCGGGTCAACAGGGGCCACGTACCTCAGAGAGGGACCAGTATGGGGCTGGAAAATCCGTCACTGGAACAAACTCTTCGAACAGTGAAGAGACACTTGGTCACCAAACCCGGACTATTCCGAACCTTGGACCAAGTGACTCGGTGCCAAATCAACTAATAAAAAAGAAAGCGAACGAAATGGTGTGACGAAGAGTAGCAATAAGTTATGACATTCTATTTCACCGCACTCGAAAATCTACAAAAGAGCATCACAGATCAGACATATGAAATATGGAGAACTATGGGTGGAACTTTCAGACCCTATCTTAACCCAAATATGCTTGTTAATGTCCGCGAGGATGTCGTGCGAAATAAAAAAAAAAAAGAAACTCTCAAATGCAGAAATAGATAAAACTCGGTATTCTCTCTCTCTCTCTCTCTCTCTCTCTCTCTCTCTCTCTCTCTCTCTCTCTCTCTCCTCTGTATCTCCAGTTGCCTTGATCTATCCACTACCCTTCTCCTCATCCTTTCTTCTATCACTCCTATTTGAACTTGCTTCAAATTTTCTGTAACCCCTTGCGTCCTAGTGGCTTCCCGCCTTGCTTGGGGTGAAACGCTTAAAAAAAAAAATAAGACAGAATAAAATAACCCATCAGTCAAACAATAAAGAGATGAGAGTAGAAATAAATAATATGACAGTGGATGAGGCAAAGCAAAAATAAACGAAATAATAAACACACACGGCATAAAATCGAAGAATCTACCAATGACATAACCTGCAATTATCCAGACTATGTAACTGAAGATAAGTCCAACTACATTAGGGTAGAGTTTCTTTGAAAAAAAAAAAAAACACAGGTGAATTCACATAAGCGGAAAACCATATCATCCAAGTACTTAGCAGAGACCGACTCCCCCCCCAAAAAAAATTCCTATGACAAAGTCCAATAAGTAAATTGTGCAAATATACAACGCTACACTGCAGACACTGGTATCGAGCAAACCACTGGGAAACAACACAGAAGTAAATAATGTCATATACGCAACAGCTTTAGCAGTTACTTGGAAGATTGGGGTCAAGAGAATGAAAAGATTAAACAACAGACAAAGGGATTCAGATTGGAAGGCAAAACTGATGCGAGAAATAAAAGAAATTAGATGTCAGATTTCGATATTAGATGAGATCACAAGAAACTCAAATGTCTCAACACGCAAATGCAAGAAGATCGAGCGGAAATATAAAATTAAATTACTAAATGAAATTTCATCAATCAAGGAAATGCTAAAACAGAAACTGCAGTTAATGACACAGAGAACAAGACAATACGAAATTCTATCGCCAAAATAAAATATTCCAAACAGACCTTAAGAAATTTTACTAAGAAAATTAAGAAACTGGAAAAGCAATTAAACATATCAATTATACATATCAAAAAGCCATCATATATTGAAAAAAGTACAGAAATTTTGGTAGAATATTTGGAGCAGCCCAAAGGAATATAACCCCAATGCAGAAAGGATCCAACAAGAAGAATATGACCACGAATAATGTTAGGCAAGCTGTAACGAAATCCCAGAAAAGGAAATCTCCGGGAAATGACACGGTGTATAATTTCAGATGATCCGAAAAATTATAGGTCAATAACGTATCTGTCCACCACGTATAAATTGATCACGTCTGTTCTGATGAAACGTACTCACTCTTTTCTCGAAGAAAACAACATTCTTCCACTGGAACAAAATGGATGCAGGAGAGAGTGATATGGTTGCGAAGATCAATTACTGATAAACAAAATGATCCTGGAAAATTGCAGGAAAAGAAGTAGAAATCTCCTCAATACTCACTGACGAAATAGGCATGGATTTCGGATTGTAGTTGGAGGCCTCGCATTGATTGAAAACAATTCCAATAGACTCTTTGAAGAGATTCCCGGTAGCCGATGACTTAAAGGAAACTGCTCAGAGGAAAATGTCATGATGACATTTCTAACCTTAGGTCTCTGGTTGGGACCCGGAAAAAATGAGTATACACCAGAAATCAAAGGAAATAAAATAATTATAGTAAATATTCCTATCATTCCAGATACATACAGAACGATCTATACATTCAGTTAATAATTAATACAAAAATCATCCTTGAAAATGGCTAATAGAATAACCGAAAGCGCTCGGTTTTATTTATATATATATATATATATATATATATATATATATATATATATATAATTATTTAAAAAAAATATAATTCCATCGCGACACAGAAATTACTGTTTCGAAACTGGTCATCCGTATTCAATTTTAATTTCAATATTAAACCTCAACTGTTGGATGACAGTTTCATCCTCAAGCGATGTTTGGAATAACTAAGCAACGAAATGTTTTACTCATTTATAGTTTCGAAATGAAGTTGTAATCTTGGCTTAGTTTCTAATTATCAAAGGGTCTCTGCTTTGATGAAAGTAGCGGTGTTTATTATATGTCAAGTTTTTGGAGTTGGGTAAGGTTTTTTTTTTTTTTTTTGGCTACAATGGCTAATTTTATCAGGCTGCGTTGTTTTTTATTACTATGTGCTAAAACTCTGATTGATGTCGTAGTTACAGTGTTTATTTATTTATTTATTTTTTTTGATGATTTCTTAAAGGGGAGTTAAGATTATGATTGTGTTGTATTTTTAAACCTGTTGTTTTAATTGAATTTGTTAATAGATTTTATATGGTATTTTGTAATTTCTATATGGTATTGTCGAAATTACTTTTTTCTATCCATTTATAAAATGCTAATTATTTAAGGTGAATATTTGGTGATGCTTGCAAATAACCGTTATTTCATTTCTTTGATTTAAGAAATTTTTCTTTTTTAGAAACTTGATAATGTGTAGTTTTTCATGTAGGCATAAAGGGCATGGGTCATCCCAAGTTCTACAAGTTATTGTTCTATTTATTATTTTCCATTTTACTGCTGATTTTTTTATTTGTTTCTTTCAAATGCCAAAAATATTTAGATAGAGATGTTTGATTTCTGTTTCTAATATTATTGAAGGAGTTTGGTGTCGTCTCCACCTTATTTTAAATTCATTTTTTGCGGATCCTATATATATCTCTTCAATATTTGGAATCTCAGTGGACAAAATTGTGCATTAGTATACCACAGATTCTTATGCGGCATTTTTTTTATTCAGAGGGCAATTTTCAGGGTTTCTACATTTACATAATTTTTCATTATTTTTGTCTAATTTTAATTTAGGATCTTTATTTATTTGATTTTGGCATGCATGATTTTTTCAGGATTTTATTGTTATGCTATTTTATAATCCTTTCTAGATTTTCAGTACAGCTATAACTTAATTTTAGGGTGTTTTTATTAAAGATCTTGCTAAGTTTGCTGTTAGTAGGAAAACGTTTTTCGATTAAAGCTAGGAATTTTTGTCCTAGATTATTACTAACCATTTGGTTGAACGGGGGTGCATGTGCCAAATGATTTGTCTTTTTCTGTTTTTCTCTGGTTTGTACTAATATTTTTTATATAATTGATATTAGGGTGTTTGTAGCCACTATATTTTAGAGTTTGGTTGTAAAAATTACTGTGTTTATAGAATATTTCTTCATTTGCGAAATTCATACTAATTTTTTTCTCTATTGATAAGGGTATGTGCTTTATGGATGTGAAACTCAGAGTCACAAACTCACATCAATCCAACTAAATATGTTAGCTCTATCACTAATATTGAGCGCTTTCCAATAAGTACTGCGCATATATAATATATAAATAATATATATACAAAAAATTGCATATATATATATATATATATATATATATATATAAAACACACACACTTACACACACACACACACACACACACACACATATATATATATTCAAAAGCAGTAAAACACAAACTACCTCACTACCTTGGTTTCAATTGTTATCGCGCATTTTTTAATGATTGCACCTTTTAAGCGCGGCTGTTTTCAGCCTTCTTTTACAATATATTATTTTATATCTGTTATGGGACCTTACCCATAATAACATAATGGACTATTCCATACGTAATAAATACTGCGCCTCAAAAGGAAGCAGAGAGTTTAGTCTGAAGTCGGGCGACCGGCTGATCGGTTGAACTCTCTGCCTTCGGGCGGGGAGGAACCCGAAGGGGGCTACGCCGAAGGGCGGATTCTCTTTCGGGGAGGTAAACCGACCCTGAACCTGTTTATACGGGTTCAAAGGGCATATTTTTGGCCGAGCCCACGGGCTCGGAGATCCCACGTTAAACCGGCCTTGTGTCACATGATGCCCTCGTGGGGGGGGCGGTGACTAAATACCGTTCAGTCTGAAGTCTGGAATGAAGTCAGTCAGGAGTCTGTCAGTCAGTCAGAGCGAGTCAGTCAGTCGAGTCAGAAGCAGTCCGAAACAGAGTCGCGTTCAGACAATTACTGCAAGACATTGGAATAGTGATACTGGTCGAGACTACATTGTTCTCTCTACTAAATCTGATTGTTCGTACTAACACTTTTCTACATCTCTGTATATATTCCTGTTTGTAATATATCTGTGTTATTCCATATCCGTATTCGAGTTCTTCTTTATTGGTTCGACCTTGGACTATCACCATCTATAGAGAGATTTCTCTGCTGATAGGAGATGGTGCAACAGATTCATGATTTTGTCGAGAATATTAATGCAATGTCAAAAAGTCTCAGTCCAAAATCAAACCCAGTTTCTTTGATTCTGTTTTCTGTGCTGACAACCTTTGATAACCCCCCACCCTCCTCTATACACTGCACGCATATGAAAAAAATTTAATCTGCTTCAGTTTCCTTTCAAAATGACATCACTGAACCGATATTTTCGATTGTAACTGACCCAGCGGTGTTAAAATGTAGCAGAATCTGAGTGAGCCTTTGGGACAGTCCTACATACAGTACGCCTCCTACTGAAAATTCATAGGGGGTGTGGAGCAATTTTTTTATCATAGTATACCTGCATGCGTGGGACTTCCGCCTTATACACGGTCTGGTTCCATATTCTGTTCGAATGTGCGTATGGATAAATATCTATTTTCAACACTTTTGCCCGATGGAAGACTGATTAAATGTACCATTTGCCTTTACTGCTCAGCTATAAGAATTTGAAGAAGATCAAAGCTAACCTATAACATATCACTCAGTTCCACGATTTTACACATCTTTTATTAATTACCGGAAGATTGGTTTTATTAGTTTTTAAAATTAAGCATTTCCAGCAATTATAGGACATGAGTGACATTCACAGCGATACTTCGATGCTGAGCTGACTACACACTGTTGTATGTTGATGGTGGATGTGCGGACAGTGCAGTTGTTTGTGGCTCCGAAAAGAAATTAGTAAGCCGAGTTCAAATTGCAACCCAGTTCGTTAGATTAACTTTCGACAGATATCTTTGGTAAAGGTATGAATCAATATCTTCTTCATCCAGATATAGATCAAATAGCAGGGCAGACTGTACTTTCTAGCCATGGTTGGCAACCAGTCTATGAGAACGAACACGTTGAATTCAAAACTACGCCAGGTTTATATACGATCCATACGATTATAAAAAGTTCAAAATTAACTGTGGTTGTGACCCTCTATGATTTCAACTGAAGTCAAATAAAGGAAAAATGTTGGTAAAAGCTTCTATAAAAACAACGAAACATCAAGATGAATAGTCCAAAGTTAATAATAAAATCAGTTTTACTCATTTTTTGTAGAATTTATTTCGTTCATAGAAATAATCAGTATAACAAGCAATTGTGTGAAGGAAAAACTTGAAGACTTAGTCGCTAAACAGAGAGAAAATCATTTCCAATCAGAAGGAAATATTGACGAATCGAAATTAATAACAGCACAAAATGAACCACGTGACACCGACTTTTCTTCTTAATTGGAACTTGCAAAGTTCCATCGATTTTTTGTATTAACCAATGTCATTTCAAATGTCGAGACGAGAGAAAGAGGGAAAGAAGTGTAATTTGCAAATTTATCACAGCATTAGTGTGGAGACTTTTCGTCAAAATTAATGATGCATGGTCGATATTAGTACACGCTTTAGTTTTTGTTTTCTTTTTTACTGCATGGTCCCTCAGCAACACCCGGAAAACACTACGAGGGAGGCGAAGAAATTTACCTGAACTGCTGATTAAAAGCAAATCGGCACCATTGATTTTCACATTTACATACACCGAAAGCTCTCTCTCTCTCTCTCTCTCTCTCTCTCTCTCTCTCTCTCTCTCTCTCTCTCACACACACACACACACACACACACACACAGAGTTATAAAACTCTCACCATGTTCAATATTTGCAATATTCGCCAATGCTCACAATAAACATATGCACTCGTGCTAATATGGAAATGGCTAGCATACAGGCACATTTCGTCCACGCTTCTCTCTCTCTCTTTCTCTCTCATAACTTTTCTTTTTCCTTTACCTTTTCCTTTTTTCTGTTTTCTTTTCTTTTTTCTTATTTAATTCTCGTTAAATTCTTGTTTTCTCAATAATTTTTCTTTCTTTTTCTTTTTCAAGCGCTATAATTTTCTCCTTTTTCCTTCCATTTTATTTTTATTTTTTCACTCTTACACATTTATTAGATCCATTTATTACACATAAAACTCATTCTACGCATTTATACTGCACGCTTATATATATATATATATATATATATATATATATATATATATATATATATATATCAGTTATGTGGCATGCGTTATACACGCTTGGCCGATCATGTATCATTCGATACATAACTGACGAGGCAGATTTTTTCCCGCAGTAAGTTGCCATTTCTTTCTGCGGTAGACTAGTTGCCATCCAAGGCTATAGGACCCGTGAATGTAATGGATTGGACTGGAATTCGGACTCAGCTCTCCGATCCATATATATATATATATATATATATGTGTGTGTGTGTGTGTGTGTATTCTCAGAATGAGTGTATCTATAGGAAAGACAAAATGAATATAAAGAGACAAGCAGAAAAATCTACTTAGCCGATGCCTCGATAAAGTCCCTCAAAGGACGAAACCCGTGGGCTAATTATAGTTTTCCTCTTGTCTTTTTTATTCATATATATATATATATATATATATATATATATATATATATATATATATATATATATCAGTTATGTGCTATGCGTTATACACGCTTAGGCGATCATGCATGGCTGACGAAGTAGTTTTTTTCCCGCAGTAGGTTGCCATTTCTTTCTGCGGTAGTTGCCATCCAAGGCCATAGGACCCGGTCTGTCCTGCTATTTACCCATAGCTGGTGTGGGAGAGAAGAAGAGGATTCATACCATTCCCAAGGGTAATAGTACGAATGGATTTGACTGGAATTCGAACTCGGCTCTCCTATATATATATATATATATATATGTGTGTGTGTGTGTGTGTGTGTGTGTGTGTGTGTGTGTGTGTGTGTGTGTGTGTGTCCCTCCTGCCTTCAATATATCCATCGTGTATCAAATTCTCCAAATCCTCTTTCTTCTTCATTCTGTGTCTAGGAGATTTCATTTGACACTTTCTGATCCTAAGTAAAAAAAAGTCCTTTTTGTTTCCATTTGTTATTAAAACTTCTCTGGTGTTCACATGCTTTGTCCATGGTATTCTCAACCTCCTTTTATAGAACCATATTTCTATTTCCTCAACTTTCCTCTTCATCTGGGATGAGGTTGTCCATCATTGACTGCCATAGAGGAGGACTGATATTACATAGCATTTCAACGGTCTTTCCTTTGTTTCGAATGAAATTTCCTCCTTAATACTTTTATGGAATCCTCCATACTTGCCTGTCAATCCCCCCCCCCAACGGGAAAATGCACTCTTCCCCAAATTAACCTTTAACCAATCATCACTTCACTTTTCCAAACTCAATTTCTCATTACTTAAAAGGACATATCCTTTTTTCCCGCGTAGCTGTCTGGAGCCTATTTGAAAACCCAAAAATCTATAAAAAAAAAAAAAAAATCGCTCGACTTAATTCAAGTCAGTCAGACACTGAGTTTCCAGAGATGCCAGCAGACTCCACGCGTGCCAACACACTGACTCAATAACACTACCAGCCTCTCATCAACTCAAAACAACTCGCACTACTATTGCCGCCTGAAGAAACTTAACTTTCAATTTACTAAAAAAGTGACATTATCACTACGAAATATTAATTGTACATTTAATCAACTTTAGCATATTAGTCAAAGGCACACAACTCTTCATAACTTGGATCAACACTTACAATTGTCACACATATACACACTATTATTTGAACTCACACAATTGACATTTTACCTTGCAGAAATCAAACTGTTTTAATTTCACAAACAAATTTAAACCATCAACATTCATTCACCAAATCTCTGCATGGACACTCTTTGCAATCTTATCTCACTTGCCACATTTAACAAGCAACCTATCATCACTTTGTGTATGTCAAATATATATATATATATATATAAATTCATGTTATTGTTGAAATCTATAACTACGTTGTTTTTTAACTTGATTTCTTCAAGCTGTATTGTCTTCATATATTCGTTTAATTTATTTGTTGTGGATAAATGCATAATGGACACGCACATTTTAGGCCTTCATACAATTTCACCTTCTGACACATCTTAGCATAAATTCTGCAACACTTTGTTTAGCTTTATGATAACCATCGAATAATGAACTCAAAATAAATAGGTTGGGTGATAAGATATTTACAAGTGATTGTGTAAAAAGGTCACAATAGTGAAGTAGTTGAAGCGAAGAGAACTCAATAGACGATAACAAATTATCTCCATTCGATTTGTATTTCAATAGTAAGAACTAAGTTCCATTAGACAGTTATTTTTCCAGCATATCCCAATGAACTTCACTTCTTGTCTTTTTTTATGACCATGCAACAGTAAGCCTCTACCTCGAAGCATTCTTGGGCCTTGTAATGAGTGAGATTAGTATAAAAATTTTTCATGTGTGAACTTATGTGTGTATGATGCTTGCTTACAGAGTATCTGACATTTTTATTAACGTTCTTTCCTTTGTTTCCCACAAGAACAATCTATCTATCTCAGTCTTTTCATATATATCTATCCATATATATATATATATATATATATATATATATATATATATATATATATAGTTTGTTTATATCTATTTCAGTCAGTTAATACCTATCTCATTCTTTTCATATCTATCTATCTACCCATATATATATATATATATATATATATATATATATATATATATATATATATATATATATATATATATATATATATATATATTAGTTTATTTATATTTATTTCAGTCAGTTCATATCTATCTATCTATGTGTCCGAAAATGTCACGAGGTTGACAAGCATGACCTCACTTGAGATGTTTAAGGTTAGGATTTGCTTGAATAAAACAGGAAAATTCATATGTGAAGTCATCTTACCAGAGCAATGACCAACTACCAAAATGCATTAAATACTAACAACTCGTGTCAAATTTGTTGAAAATTGCATTAGTCACCTTTAGGGCTTAAAAGACAAACTTCCAAAAAATTCAACCTAATAACAAGAAAATGCATCTCTCTCATGGCTGTCAAGTTTCTGCAAGAATTTTTAAAAATCTATTCGGTTTAACGAGTTATATCCGTTCAAGGTACCATTAGGTCCTACAATGATGCCTTGCGATTGTTATACTGGACATCGAAGTGACGGACATCATCTAGTTTTCGATCAGTCCATCCGCAATATACAAAAAAAAACTTTCTCGATTTCTTTCTTTTGTCATCTCCCTGTTCGTTACAGCTACTTTTCTAAACCAGACTTCCATTTGCACCTCCCACTGAATTTATCAACTGAATGTTGTTTATTTAAGTTTAAAAGACCGCGAGTTCAGTCCTCACCATGAACGTGAAATGCCAGCTATAAGAATGTTTGTTTTTCTTTATAGCTGTCGACAAAACGAATAACAAGAATAATTTTCCTTTTTATTTTTTTTAATGTATTTACGACAGTTCAACTTCTACTAGTGGCAGTTACTAATGACCCTGGCTTCTACTTGAATACTATTTACATCACTTAACACATTTGTTTGTTTATACAAAACAGCATGCTTCGTAATAAAAAAAAGAAATCAGACGGTGTACATGCAATTAGAGAACTCTGCATTCCACTGAGAAATTAATAAGATCTTTTTTTTTTTTGAGACAACCCAAGTCTCCGTCCCTCACACTTATTTACTTCCTTTCTTTCTCTCTCTCTCTTTTCTCTCCTCCTTATATTACAGCAGATCACATTCATTTCTCACACCAACCAGCAATCGTCTCCCCCTCTCTTTCTTTCCTGTCATTCTCTTTTTCTTCATTTGCTTTCTTTTCTACTCTTATTCATTAGTCATGTGTTAACATCCGTTCCAATCATACCCCTCCTCTCTCACTCTTTCTTTCTTCCCCTCTTTCTTTCTTTCTCCCCCTCTCTCTCTTTCTTTCTTTCGTTTTGTCTTTCTTTTTAA